AAAAGCAGATAGAAAATGAATGGCTGAAATAAGAACTGAAGGTAAACATGAGTGTCTCTTGGGCTGATCCCTCTACACAGCTGTGTCTTACAAACAAAAGCAAAATCACAAAAGCAACATCTGAATCAGAAAATGAAATGTCAAGTGAAGTGGGACATATGTATATACCTGTATATTCAGGGCCGGCTCAAGGGGCCCCCTCAATGTGCAACACAACACATTTTTAATCAGTACATTCAAATGTGAGTGAAAAATTCCCTATAGCGGCTCTTTCTGTTGCTGCTATGGATTGTCCTAATGGATGTCCAGTCAAAAACTGACCGATCCTAATTAAATACGTAATGTTTCTGAAGCACAGAAAAGACGAGTGGGATTAAAGATCTCCAAAACAGAGGTACACCGTGTAATAATGCATGATATGCGTAATAATGTAATCATTTGTAGTTCGTTTCGGTTTTGAGTCTGTCAAATCCATGTACCTAGCGAACAGCAGATGTTTTCAGGCGAGACGTACAGTAGCTGTTTCCCTCAATTGTACAGATGCCGTGTGGGTCACCTGGCTTAAAATCGGCCAGGTGTAAAAGTTAATGTGCAGTACAAAAGACTGTCCTGCGATCATACATAATGGCCATTAAAACACACTGTTTTCCTTGCGGTTTCTCCTGTATTTCATTAAATGGAGGGTATTGTTAACCCAACCTTCGGATTGCAGTCTCTCTCCCAGTGACAGCGGCAGGAGCAGAGAGGAGAGGTCGAAAAAATATAGGCACATTGATTTGTAGAACATTTTTATAAAACTTTCCCATCTACTCAGCCTCTACTGACCTCACCTCCCTTGTCAATGAGAGCTCTCTTTCTTTCTAACTTAATTTCATATCTATTTCTGCAATTCATTCAGGGTTGCAAAGCACTGATTTGTTAGTTACGCTTTGCTGGAATTTTGAAGTAACAGAGATCCTGTTTATTATCATTTATTGTTATCAGTGCGCCTGTTGTCATTAATATTGATATTAATGCTTTATCATGACTTGCAATGTTAAAATACTTTATCTTAAAAATGTGTGCCTCATGTTCTCGTTTATAACTTGTTTATTATGTGTCCTGCAAAGCTGGTTAATAAACGTTTTCAAGTGATATAATTAATTTATTTTTATTGTTCTAAGTAGTACCATAAGGTTGTGTTGGGAGCTGATAGCAGTGCAGTGTAGTGCATGTAGTGTCTATGCAAATCATGATCTGGAGGGGCCCCTTTCCACTGTCTTGCCTAGGGCCCCCAGACAGCTAGGGCCAACTCTGTATATATACAGTATATCACGTTTCCAACACTACTAGATCACTGCTCAATCCTATTGTGGGAGGTCAGAGTAATTGCTGGCTTGTGTTGACTTAGCTTTGTTCTGGCTGTACTAAAAGGTACAGTATGTAAACAAGATAATTTATATTAACAGGTGCAGCTTTTTTATTTCATCCTACAATGTGATAAGAGTAGAACTGATTGAGTATCAAAGAACTGCACCCTAGGGTGAAACAAAGCTCTTTCTGAGCCTGTACTGTATATTACAGTTGGGAACCCTGTGCTGTGCGACTGCTGTGCAGGGTAGTCCCAGCCCTGTGTAACTGTGTCACTGAACGAACTGAGGTCAATACAGAGTGCAACTCCATGAGGGTCTCGCTCCTCTGCTGAGAATTTCCCACAACTCCCAGTATTGCAGTAGGTATAGTGGATTGCCACCACATAGTGGACCCACTCAGAATTGTATTTGTATTCTGCCGTGCACCTGCTGCTTGCTGGGATAGACTCTGGCGACCCTGAATTGGATAAAGTGGTCAGGATGAGGGACAGTTTCAAAATCCTGTCTTGTCTCGAGTCAGTTGTTTAACCGTGCATTGATTGCTTCTGCCTTGCTCCCAGACAACCTGTCCTACATTGAGCACATCTTCGAAATTTCCCGGCGCCCGGACCTGCTGACCCGCGTGATCGAGTACCGGACCACCGTGCTGAAGATCTCCGAGGACGACGAGATCGACACCAAGCTGACACGCATTCCCTCGGCGAAGAAATACAAAGGTACACCCCGGCCCCTCCTCGTTAAATTGTTAGACAGATTTTCTTTCGGCTCACAACCCCAAGAGGGCAGAAGAACAAGGACGCCACAACAGACATTCCAAACAGTTGTGCCTGGGGTGACGTGCATTAATATTCATGGAACTATAACAAAGTTATAATGGAAATTCAGGAGGATGGTTAGATCCTAACATCGGACACTTCCAGAGGGTGTGTACATAAGTCTTGCACATGGGACTTCCTGTAGCCCATCTCTCTCATTACCCTCCCACTCCCCCACCACACCCCTGCAGCGGCTCCCTGGCTCAATCCTCGTGATACTGAGGTGGGGGGAGTTTTGAGAGTAGCCTCATCCTTAAGGCGAGTCTGTCTATTCTCTTAGCTAACTATACTCTCGATCTCATCTCTCTCTCACATTTACAGTATTAGGGTGTAACTGAACTCCTGAACTCATTTATTTAGTTGGCGTTTTATTATACATTTGTACCCTTTTATACAGCGAGGTTGTTTTCAGCTGTTTTACTGAAGCAGTCAGGGTGATGTACAACAGCATTGTCACTCCTGGGGTTTGAACCCAGGAGATTTTGTTATGTTATATGTCCAGACCCTAACAACTGCCCCAGACTGCCGCATGGGTCTTCAGGCTTCAAAAAGGCAAGAGCAGCAGTGTAGTAGCCCTTTGAGTGTCTGTTCAAAACGGTAGGCTAGGTTAAAGCTCCTTGTGACGGTCTTCTGTGAATTCCGAGATTTGCCGATTGAAACGTTTCTTTTAAAGGATGCTGTCCCTTGCCAGGCCTCACGGACATTCCTGTCTTTCAGATATCATCCGCCAGCCCTCGGAAGAAGAGATCATCAAGCTCGCCCCGCCCCCCAAGAAAGTCTGAGGTTGAAGTCGAGGACGACTGCGCCGCAGAAACCCCGCCCCTTCCCCCTTTGCCCCTCCCACGTCCTTCACCGCTGACATACAACACCGACGCACTAGCAGCCTCCCGACCAGTCAATCGAATCCCACGATGCCTGACAAGTCCCGCCTCTCCTCTGATAAATAAGACCTGGCAGCGAGAGAGGGAGATGGAGAGGGAATTCTTCCTTGAAGAGTCTGCCGTTTAACTGGCCCTCCGACAAGCTGAGCGTGTTTCGAAATGGCGTAACCTGTTACTCCCCCAGCAGTGCGAAAGAGCTTCAATATAGTTTGCTCCACATGCCAAGTGATTAGTCAGGGGTTGAACAAAAGTCATGGTACATTACTTATCATTTTCTGACAGCTGGAATTCTGTTTCTGCCGTTAAGCCCAAACCGTAAACTCCTGAGGTTTTTCCACTGCTTGTCGTGATATGGCATGGCATAGCGCAATAGTGTGCCCCGGTTATTGCAATTGAAAAAAAAAAGAAATGCCGCATGTATTATGCAGCCTATATCGCAATATAGTGTACGCTGTGTGGCGCCTTTTGTGATCATGGCAGCTGAAGTTGTAACGCTAGCCTTGATATTGCAGATGCAACTTGTTGTTAATCTGGTTTTTATTGTTATACGCTAATGGGAAAGATGCAGCTGACCTCAGATAGTATTTCCATTAGAAATTCACTATAGATCCAATTGTTACTGATCAGATGTTTCTCAAGAACAGAGAAAATTATTTACCGCATATTTTTTCCGCTACAGTCCAACTCTTGCCTGTGGGTGGGCTAAACTCACTATATCACTTGATAACTTTTCAGTCTTTAACATCTTCTCTATGGGAGAACTATTGTGATAAGTGTAATTATCATGATTCTGTCAAAAGTCGGGACTTTTTTGATCTTTCACCCTTACCTGAGATCACAAGAATCCTCACTTTTCGACTATTCATGTCTAAAATGAGATATCTCTTTTTAAATTATATATTGGAATAGTATATATTTAATATTTTTATAGGCTTATTTAAAAACTGCATTCCTTTCTGATCATGAAAGCGTACGCTGAAGACTCTTTAGACGTTTGTGACATCCAACACAATGTTATAGAAATGAAATTTAAATAAAAGCAGTAAAGGAGCAGTGAGGTTGATCAGAAGAGTGGTTAAAGAAGGAGCCGGAGAAAATAAGTAGAAACCGTTCTAAGATAGTATAGTGAAAAATCAACATAATTTTTCTGAAGTTCTTGAACTGTTGGGGAGCTTTTTAACGGATTGTCAGAAGTTTTAAACTGACAAATTAAATTAAATCCTAAAGAATATCAACTAATAATATGTGGTGTTAAACTAAAACCCACTGTGGTGCACTATACATCATTACGAAGGCAAATCAAGGCCAATTTTAAAGCTTAGGGCAGTTGTGTAGTAGGTATCTGCTATCTCGGCATGATCAGACAACTTGAGATATCCCTTTACTGCTTTTCTGAGGACTTGAATCATTCCAGCCATGCACACGATCCTAAAACAAGACTGTTGACAATACACGCGTTATCACTGTGTTTCCACGACTCAATTAAGCCTTAGCAGAAAATGCGCATTGGCCTTCGTTTTCAATGCGTCGTCCGGTTTGAGCGTTAAAACGTTGCTCGCGGCGGAGTTTTTTGTTTGTTTTCTGAGGCGCATCGTGTCTCACTGTTCGCTTTGACACATAATGAATAAGCAGAGCGCGGCGAACGGAAGGTCCTTTGGTTTCACCGTGGCGTTTCTGCCTTGGTGAGGTGAGGCCTTGTCTTTAGAAATCCCACGGGACCCTCCCTCCGGCTGCCCGGTTTGGGAACCGCAGGCTTGACGAAACTCTGCTTTTGATGTGCCACGTTTCGTTCGTCCACGACTTAGTCCGTTGTCAGTCGAGTCCCGTTTTTGTCCGTTGGTTAACAAGCGTGGTACTTTTTTAAGTGTTATGTTTTCAGAAACTTTGCCGCTTTCTTACTCTGTTCCACTTATACTTCACGTGCCAAGTACCAAGCCTTTACAAGTGTTCATGGGAAGAAAAACACACAAAAAGGTTTTTTTTTAAGTCAGACGATACTCAATTCTATGCAAAGCATCTAAAAAAAAGACAAACCTACAGGTCAACACACCCCTCGACTCTCCTCTATTATTTAGCGTCCTCCCCCCCCCCACATTACCCCCCGGACGCTAATTCGTACGTGTCACCCCTAACAAAAGCGAAGCGATTGCATCATTTTCCCTGTGTTTCTGAAGGGTAGCTCTTGAAAAATCATCGATTGTGAAATTCCGTGTTTGGTCGAACTTTCTTAAAAATCTCTTAATTTGTCGACTAAATTCTGGTGTTGTTGTAATCTGGACGCCCTTGGCGTATATGTGTTAAACCATAAATATCAGCCTGGATCATGTTCAGTAAAGTTACCTTAACACCTTAATACGTATTTTCTCAGATTTAAGTTAAAGCATGCTACCTTTTACAGTTATACAGCTACCTAACAAGATTATATTTACATATCGAGCTTTTCAGCTGCAAGCAGTGAACGGAGTAACGTGTTGAAGCACGGAATTTCTCGCTTGTTAATTATACAGAGGAAGTCGAAGTTAATTCGATGTAATGTTCAGTGGATGTGGTTGAATGTCTGCTATGATGAAGCGGGTGTTCTCACTTGTACCACTCTCGCTCCTGCGGAGAGTCTTGAAAACCGCAGAGCAGTGACTTATATATTGCTTTTTTTCTGAGATACTGGTCTGTACGTTTCAAACTGTGTGCTTTCGTTGGTTGCTCAGCGTTTTTATTCTCGACCACAGCAGCCTCTTACCGCCAAAATGTGGTCTTGCCACTGTTTTGCTGTTGCCGTGTGTTTTAGTATGTTAATAGAGTATTGCTGGTGACGTAGAAGGTGGTGATTCAGTGTCTTTTACTCTAACTCTGGCCGTACAAGGATCGTGTTCTGGGCAGCATCGCAATGTTGCTTTGCATATCCACTTAAACACAGGGACCAAGAAGACAGAACCTGATCGATGTGATCTGGAAGGGGGTGACAAGCGGTCCAGGCAGTTTCTCTAAATTTTAGCTGTGCTGACCTCTATGCCCTCTAAAAACTATTTCCACAGACTGCTTGTTTTCAATCGGTTATGGATCCTGATTATCTGCTCAACTGGGAAAATCTCTCCTTCCAGAGGCGAGCACTAATGCACACGTGAACAGCATCGCTGTGCTTCCCACTTCCCTTAGCTGGCACAGACTCGAAATGGCTTAACGTTAGTTTTGAAATTTGATATCAACGTTGAAATTTTCCCAAAAGTGTCCGGATAGCTCCAGGGCAAACAGAGGAGAAAGTTGTTTTATTTGTTCTCTATGGTGCTTGGAATGTAGATCTGTTTAATTTTAATGTCTGTGATTGAGTGCTCAGTATTGTTTGGTGTTAAAAAAGGTTTTGATTTCCTCAATATGCTTGGTGATCGAGGTTCTATTTTCCTTCATGTCTTTGGGTATGTTGTCGGTAGATCTTGGTTAAAGGAGAGGCCTAGCCTCCTTTTTTGTGACTCCTCATCCTCTTTGGCAAACACTAGACATCTATTGTCTCTGACACCCCTAACAGTCCTAACATTGTAGAAAATGCCAAGCTCTTGAGGTACACCCTGCTGAAGTCCTGCAGCTTTTTGAAAATGACCAATACTGTCTTTAATCTTGAGATCTCATTCCAAGACACGATCATGCATCACACAGAAACAGCCATGCATTCCATTCCAGTTTCCAGTTGTACTGCAAAAATGATATAGTTCGACTGAAATTCTTTTTTTTTCCTGTGAAATTCAGAACTGTATTATTTAGTCTGATGAATGGTATATTTAAATTCCCCAGGTTTGGGTGGTTCCATAAAGGGCCTGTCTGCCAAACATACTCCAGAAAATGCCCCAGAAGAGAAAACAGGATTTTGCATGAAAACGTTGTTGGTTCTGGTAGGGACTTTACTGGCAATTCTTGGGGAGATACACCTTAAGGTGTGTAAGTGCTTACTTCTTCCTCTGAATAAATTCCTTGCCTTTGCTATCCTGTGCAACCCCTGAGTGTACATTCAGGCTGCATTGCTTGTAACAGAGTGCATGTGATGTCACACCAATTTCTCCCCATTCAAGAGGCCCAACCTTTTGGCATAGTGGAATTCTCTGCCTACTAAGAGTGCTGTGTGACTATGAAGTCTTTGGTTCCCACAAGCTGTTGGCTGTTGAAATTTCACATGTCTTGCATTATTTTCTAGGTTTTTTTTTTCAAGTCATAGAGAAAACCATAGAGAAATTAGAGATTTGTTTAATCTGTAGCCAGAGTTCTACATCAGATTTGGCAAATTTACTAGTATTAAATTGGGCATCAGGTTTCGTGTGGTGGGAGGCAAGTTTGTGCACCAATTTGGCCTGTATCACTGTGAAACCACCACTAAGAAAAACAAACTTGTGCCAGGCATGCACTCCCAGATTCAGTGTCTGTTAAAGAAAGGGGGATCGTTTTAGGATAGGCAGACAACTCAATGGAGTTCAGAGGTACCTCTTTCAGTTAGGTGTCATGGAGTTCAATGTTATTTCAGGGTACAAGAGAGTTATACTCCCAACAAAGATACTTTTAATATGAAATTTAATATGAAGTCTTCAATTCTCCATAAATTCATCTGTATACTAAATATGTCATTAATCTACATAATGTATTAATTGCTATTTGTGTAAATCAGAGCTGCGTATTTGGGCAATGACGATACAGATCTTATTCTTATTATTGATTATTGAGTACTATTGTAGGTAATTTCTGCTCTGTGCCATATATAATCATTTTCATGTAAACAATATATCTACTAAAGCCATGTCCAGTGCTCTCAAAATGAATCACTGTTACAAACTAATTAACAACTCAGCTGAAAGAATACCAGACCTCAAGCCTGGGGAACTATTGTCACCAGATTAGCACCACACACTTTTTTTTATTGTATTTTTAGATAGGAGCAGCTCTTTTCTTTCTTAATGAAGTTGTATATAAATATTGTGAGTTTATTTCAGTGTGTTTTTATTATTGATTAATTTATTTAATGCAAATATGGTTTAATGTAACAGAAAATGTTTACTAACTGGAAAAGTTGTAAAGACAAAAATGAGACTGTGCTCATAATTGTACATGAAAGGAAAAGAAGCATTTTCAGTAAGAATTGCATAATATGTGGTGAAAAGTAGTTGTCTTTTTAGTAACCCAACTTGTACCCCATAAATATACCAGTCCACATACACAGGATTATTGATAAGTTTATACAGTATTAATTATAAATGTACGATATTATTTAAAATATTGTAGATTTCCACATTTGTGAGGGGTGAGTGAAGTTGGGAGATTCTGTTTTCCAGCAGCAGAAAGCGTGCCCAATTAGAGAATATCATCTCAACAATATTCAGCGTCTGTGTTATTTTGGCTGTAGGATATTTGGTAGCTTAGCATTTAACAGG